TTCAGGGTTGTGCAACCATCACCAAAATGAATTTTTTAACAATTTCAACACCCAAAAAAAGAAACCTTGCACACATTAGCATTCACTCCCAACTCCCTTCCCTCCAGCTCTTGGCAACCACTAATCTACTTTCTGTCTCTACAGATTTGCCTATTCTGGACATTTTATATGAACACAATCATACGGTATGTATTCTTTTATGGCTGGTTTCTTTCACTCACGTGTTAGCATAATGTTTCCAAGATTCATCCACATTGTAACATATATCAGCACTTCATTTCTTTTTGTGCTTAATAATGTTCCATTGTATGGATATACACTTTAACTTTCATCAGTGGAAGGAGACTTGGGTTGATTTCACTTTCTCACTATGATGAAAAATGCTGTCATGAACATTCATGTTTAAGTTTTTATAATGACATATATTTTCATTTCCCTTAGGTATATACCTAAGAGTGGAATTGCTAGGTCATATGGTAACTCTGGTTTTTTCTAACCTTTGAAGAACAGCCAGAGTGTTTTCCAAAGTGACTGTACCACTTTTCATTCCCATTATCAGTCTATGAGGGTTTCAATCTCTCAACACCTGCCCCATCACTTATTATCTATCGTCTTTTTTATTTTAGCTATCTTAGTGGGTATGAGTAGTACCTCGTGATTTTTATTTGCATTTCCCCGATGGCTAATGATGTCGATCACCTTTTCATGTGCTTATTAGTGATTTTTACATCTTCTTGGAGGAATATCTATTCATATTCCTTGCTCTTTTTTTTTTTTTTTTTTTGAGACAGAGTCTCACTGTGTTGCCTGGGCTAGAGTGCCATGGCGTCATCCTAGGTCACAGCAACCTCAAACTCCTGGGCTCAAGTGATCCTACTGCCTCAGCCTCCCGAGTAACTGGGACTACAGGCACGCGCCACCATACCCGGCTAATTTTTTCTATATATTTTTAGTTGTCCAATTAATTTCTTTCTAATTTTAGTAGAGACGGGGTCTCGCTCTTGCTCAGGCTGGTTCCGAACTCCTGAGCTCAAACAATCCGCCCGCCTCGGCCTCCCAGAGAGCTAGGATTACAGGCGTGAGCCACCGCGCCCGGCCCTTGCTCTTTTTTAGATTGGATTTTTTACAGGTTCGTGTTTCATCTCTGTTACTATATATCTATATGTAGTTACTATATATCAGTAACTATAAATCTCTTGAAGGCATTTTGTCCACAAAATCATGAACACTGGAGTTATATTCCACTATGTTGGTATCCAGAACACCATAACTGTGTGACTTGGCAAGTTAATTAATTTTCCTACATCTCAGTTTTCTTGTCTATAAAATGTAGAGAATAAGACCTACATTATACAATGGATGTGAGGATTAAATGAAATTATGACTAGAAAGCCCCTAGGAGTGTGCCTGTCACTTAGAAAATAACCAATAAGTGTTACATATTATTTTTAATATTTTTTATACCTTCCAATGTGTAGTTTAGTTTCATACATATGATAGGTATTCGATGAGTATTTGTGAATGAATAATTTAGGAACAAAAATTATTTTAGCTTATTTATAGTTGTAGTTATGACTATCTATCCATGAAAAGGTCAAGCAACCCAGTATGGAATAAACATAGGCTGAGCAAGTGGATAAATTAAAAAGATACATAGTCATTCAACTCCCAAAATGATCGCCAAAGAAAACACTTTACCAAGTCTTAGGGAAAAAAATGTAAATTCAATAGGAGTAGTCTTGAGATATTTTTACAGCTCTAACAAATGCTTAGCCAAAGACTCACAGATCCAAAAATATGTCATTATTCGAATCTTCAAAATAAAAAAATAAAGCCCAAACCCTTCAGTAAAGAATCCTAATTTGAGGAAAGATATTCAGGAAGGCATCTCAATCTATCAATTCTATAGCAACAGCAAATTAAGGCAAGGGAAGGAACTACTGAAAACCAAAGAAGTAGACCTTAAGTGATAAAACTGGAAGACTTACTCTCAGCCCTAGTAAATACAGAGGCTGACTCCTCATGATGGACTGAAAGACTTCATCTCCGTCTGCCTTCGATACTGCCTTAAACAGAGAGTAATTGGTTTTTTGGGATTTGGATTACAGTTGGTAGGAAGATGAAGAACTTTAAACCATCCTAGGCCAATATGGATAAACCAACCTGAGAAGGATTCAGCAGTGGAAATAAATCAAAATCTTGCATGCCAGGCTAAGCATTCACCTCATAAGCAATGAGCAGACATAGGCTCACAGCAGGAGGGAAAAATTAAATATGGATTGAAAGAATGAAAGCAGTGCTTTAGAAAGGCTCGTCTGAATCAGAGGTGGCTGAAATGGAGTAGGAATCAGGTTTAGGAGGCATGAGGTCTTGATATAACTTCGAGAAAGATAATGCAATAAGCATAAATCTTGGACAAAGAGAGTTCAGACCAGCCTCTCAAATCTTAAATCTTAAAACATGAATGGTCCAAAGCAGAGGACCATGGTTTAGTTCATGTAGGAAATTGTGCAATCATGAGTAAACAGTGTTGTCAACTTTGTTTCTCTTTACGCTGATCATGATCTAACAAGTAGCAGAGAATAATAGTTATGCCAATAACGACTATTACTATTACAGCTTATAATAATATTAATAAGTGCCACTACTTATGGATTATTGACTTTGTGTTAAGTACTAATGTTAAGCACTTTAGCCTTATGCCTTACATGGACCCTATGAAACAGATAATATATTAACACAGATGATGAAATCAAAGTTTAAAGAGATCAACAAAATCAAGATTAAGTAAGAGAAATCTGATTTCCAAAGATAGGTTTTGAAAACTGTATCTGATAAAAGCCAAAGCCTACTCTTTTAACCACATCAGCGTAATGCCTCCCAGCTAGTATGGTTTATGAAAGGATTCTCCACTCAGATTATTTCTTAGCTTTTCTGTCGTCAATAGGTCAACAGGGCCCATCGAAGTCAGGTATGCCCAAAACTATTCATGCATTTATTTCATTCATTCAGTATGTACTGAGTGCCTACTATGTCTTAGGGGAACGCCATGGTAAACAGATGCAGTTCCTGCCCCATAACATTCTAGTCAGGAGACTTATACTGAAATGTATTCAGTTTGACTAAGCATAACATAACAGTGAAGTTTTGAAAAGCTGACAAATATGCCAGGTACTTTCCCAATTCCCTATAACCCATGTTCCTTTCCCCCGATCATGCATTATGTTGTCCCCACCACCCTCTATGGCATCTCCTTCAGCTAGCCACAGACAGACCCCATCACTGTGGGGTCCCACAAGCCACTACAGCTCTTTCGCCTCCTAGAGAGTTTTCATCACTCTCCAGGCTGACTAGATGGTTTCAAGGCCCACTGTAGGATTGAAGGATGCTGCTTAATTTAGACCCATCTAGCTGCTTTGAAAAGAGATGCATCCAAGATAGCTCAGATAGAAAGGGTTTACTCTAATAAGCAATGAAGAGACTCTCACATTAATCTAGCTGTTAACAAAGCTGGCCTCAATGAAGCTGCACCTGGAGTGTCACTCTGGATATAAGGCAGCCCTAGACCTCAGCAGCATTTTATGAATCTTTGCACTTATGTTCCACAGTTGACAAAAATTAACAGCACTCCACATGTCTGCTTCTTTCTGATCTGCTACCAACTGGAATTTCCCTCTGGGTTACTTGGATCAAACTCTTCGGAGAGAGTGAGAAAAAAACCATCTCCGCTTCTCTCTCTTTGGGCAGTGCCACCAGGCACCACCAAGCAGTCTGCTGATGGACTTACCTTGGTAAGTAACTTTCTTATGTGTAAGCTTTGTAAAAAAAAAAAAAAAGCTAAGTACTTTTCTCATTTCTATTCATGAGTTTTCAAAATCATAAGAAGTGATTTCAGCAAAGACTAAGCTTGGGACAAGGATGAAAACTTGTTAATCAGAATTACTAAATTAGTGCCAGAGTCTGGATTTTCCCAGTTTAATTGTAGTTTTAACCTGCAGTAAAATTTCAATGCTTTCTGAGTTCTTAAGCTGACCAATTAACTTGAGCTATCTCACTCAAATCAAGCAACCTCCTGGCTGACTCTCAGATTCATTCCTAGTCACTACAACTTGGACCCAAAACCACAGAAGTGGTTCTATAATTAAAATGGGCAAAACATCCTTACTTGAAATACACTTCTTTTACCATTAAAAAAAAAAACCCGTAGGGCTAGTAGGGAAGGTATTATCCATATTTTATGGATGGGGCAATTGAAATCAAATCCCTTGTCCAAGGACACAAGACTATTAACAGTGGAACCCAAGTAAGGATCCAGGGGTTCTGATTTCTAGTCCAGCTGCCTTCACACTTCGAAGTCGGCTTTGTTAATCTCCGGACTTTTGAATTCCTGGGGTTTGCGGACATGGAGCCAAATCACCACTAAATTCCTGTTTTTTTGAGACTGAGTGTCTCGCTTTGTTGTCCGGGCTAGAGTAAGTGCCTGAGTGCGGTGACGTCAGCCTGACTCACAGCAACCTGAAACTCCTGGGCTCAAGTGATCCTCCTGCCTCAGCCTCCCCAGGCGCGAGCCACCAGGCCCGGCTAATTTTTTGTTTCTGTTTTCAGTTGACTGGCTAATTTTTTTTCAATTTTTAGTAGAGACGGGGTGGGGGCGGGGGTTAGGGTCTCGCTCTTGCTCAGGCTGGTCTCGAACTCCCGACCTCAGGTAATCCTCCCGCCTCGGCCTCCCAGAGTGCTAGGATTACAGGCGTGAGCCACCGCGCCCGGCCTAAATTCCTGTTCCCACACAATCCTGCTGACTAGGGGCCCCACTTCCAAAGTGAAAAACAAGTGGGCGGTGTACCGTGACGCGCTAACCCTCAAGGCCAGACAATCAGTCCTTGGGCTGTTTACCCAGGCGGTCTTGGAGCCAAGGGACAGGTCACGTGACTCCAGCAACTACAAAGCGCGGCCGCCAAAACCGGGCCCGGCTCAGAAGACAACTTCACAGCCTCCAGGTCTCTCCCCAGCTCGACGCGGCTCTACCGCGCCCCGCGCCGAGCGCCACTTGAGGCGGAGCCTCCCTCGCAGCGGCGCGCGCACCCCAGGGCCTTGCGTCGCAGGACTCGGCCCGGGCGCGCTGGGTCAGTGTCCGTGCGCGCCACTTCCGACTCAGGCCTCGGTTCAGGTTCCGGGGCGCCGCGGAGCTCTCGGCCCGTGCACGGCGCGCGGCCCTCTGGGGAATCTGGCGCCACGCGCCGTGCGGCCGCAAGGATGGAAGAGGCCGCGGCGGCGGTGGCCACGGCCGGGGAGGCCGAACTGAACTGGTCCCGCCTCAGCTTGTCCCCCGAGACGCTGGAGTCTGAGCTGGAGGCGCGAGGCGAGGAGCGGCGCGGCTCCCGGGAGGTGCTGCTGCGTTTGCTGCTACCTCACAACCGTCTGGTGTCACTGCCACGGGCGCTGGGCAGTGGCTTCCAGCACCTCCAGGTGCTGGACGTGAGCGGCAACGCGTTGACCACTCTCGGGCCAGAGCTGCTCGCGCTGCACGGCCTGCGCACGCTGCTGGCCAAGAACAACCGGCTCGGCGGGCCCAGCGCGCTGCCCAAGGGCCTGGCCCAGTCGCCGCTCTGCCGCAGCCTCCAGGTGCTCAACCTCAGCGGCAACTGTTTTCAGGAAATGCCCGCCTCGCTGCTGGAGCTGCGCGCCCTGCAGACCCTGAGCATGGGCGGCAACCAGCTGCAGAGCATCCCCGCTGAGATCGAGAACTTGCGGAGGTGAGCGGGTCCCTGCGAAAGGGAGGGTGGGAAGTCCTGTGGCGCCCGGTCTGGGCGCCGTGCATTTGTCACCCAACTGTTTTTTTCCAGGCTGTTTCTTTAACTGTTTGGTAGTGAGTACTGCCCGGCAGCCTCAGCGAGTTGTAGTAAAGATCTAGTGAGATTGCTTATGTGACAGTGTTTGGTATGTTGTGTTTGGCTTTTGAAGATTTTCGAGCCAGTTTTTCTTTCTTTCTTGTATCTGGGGCATGATGCGAACTGAGTGGGTACTCAGATGTAAACCTGAGGTTCTCACTTTGTTGCTCAGAAGTCTTTGGCATAACATGCAAGGGCCTCTGATCTGACCGTTCCTTTCCACTACATCCCTATCTCCCTTTTCTCTGTAGAAATACCAACAGTACCGTTCGTGGAGTTCAGTGAACCATGCACTTTCCCATGTAGGAAAAGCAGGTTATAGGTGCTGGTACTGGTATGCAGTCACTAAATATGTGTTGAATGGATGCATTGCCTCTGTACGTATGCTGTTCCTTTTGCCTGGAATGTTTTCTTCACCTGGCAAACTCCTATTCATCCTTCAAAACCTATCTCAAAGGGTCACCTCTGTGATTCCTTTCTTTACTGCTCCCTGCACAATTAATTATTGCCTAAACTGTACTTTGTTGGTAACTCATTTATCCTGCCATTGCATTTACCTATTGAATATAATTCCTTGTTTACAGGAGTTACCTGCCTCACCTACTAGATTATTTAGTAATGTATGTTAAATTAAATGTTACGAAGAAGCAGAGAAAGCAGCATAATAAAATTCCACTATAGGTGTCCTGCAGGAGAGTGGGAAATAGAGCAAGAGCAAGTGTATTGTCCAAAGTGAAAACCCCTGTAAAATATTTTCACATTCTCTATTGTATTTTCAGAGAGAGGAGAATGTTAGAGGTGGAAGGACCGCAGAGTTAAGTGTAGTGAAAATGACATTGACCTGGGAATAAGAACTCTTGGTGTCCAAGCCTTAGGCAAGTCACTTAATATATCCTAACCATAGCTTCCTAATCTGCAAAATAAAGCAAGACGCCTCTTCATTCACTCCTCAACAGATATTTATTGAGTACCTGCCATGTGTCAGGCACTGTCCTAGGTGCTGGGGATACAATGGTGACATGATCCTGTCCTCATGGAGCTGACAGACTAGCAGAGGAGACAGACGTTAAACAATTAACTGTAAACCTCATTATTTAATTACAATGGTTATAAGGTAGCAGAGTCACGCAGCAGAAACGTGCTGGGTGCATAATTACAATGGTTATAAGTTCTGTGAAGATGTGTAGAGTGCTTTGAGACAAAATAACAGAGTGACCTAACTTATTTTGGTCCTTGAGCAAGTAACATTTGAATTGAGCTTTTGGAGGAAGAGTAGAATTAACTAAGTGGTAGAGGCAGTGGGATCAGTTTAGGTACAGGGAACGGTACTTGTGAAAGCCCAGACATAAGAAGGAAAGTACTTAAATTCTGAAAGAAGGACGCTGTTCTATGAATTGAGCAAGAGGGAAAGTGGCAAATGCAAATTTAGGCCAGTCAGGCCATGCCAGGTCTTGAAGGCTGTGGTAAAGTTTGGATTTTATTCTAAGTGTGCGTGGGAAAGTTTTAAGTGCATGTGTCTTGCTTCTGCTTTCAGGGAATGGAGTTGGGAGAGGGTAGAGAGATGAGAGGAGATTTGAGGGCTGGTTAGAAGGAGGCCATTGTATTAGGATGAGAGATGATGGTAGTTTATGCCAGGGTGATACTAGGAGAGATGATAAAAAATAGAAGAGTTGGAGAGAGATTTAGAGGTAAATTCAACAGGCCTTGGTTCCTTCTAATTTTAATGTTATGTAATTACAACCTTGGAATTTTCTCAGTATACTAAGAGGAACCCAGGGAAAGTATTTCCAACACATGAGGAAATCCCGTTTACTGAATACTTACAATGTGGTAGGCCCTGTCATAGGTGCTCTAAATATGCCTTTTAATTCTCACAGTGATTCTATGAGATGATGTACTCCCTTTTTTTTTTCCAGAGGAAAATGAGGCTCAGAGAAATTAAGTCACAAGATCATAGACCCAGTAAGTGGTGGAACTGGATTTGACCTCTACAGTCTTTGACCCTAAACCCATGAGTTTTCCATAGTGGCAGAGTAGAACTAGAACATGAGTCTTTGGACTTTTGTTCTGTTGTATATGTGATCAGGAGGACTTGACAAAGTTATTCTCCTGGTTGACCTGATTTTCTGGACTAACAACTGTGCCATATGTGTTTATTGGTCATTGTGTATTTGACTCCAATAATATCTTTAATGTCAGTGTTTTCATTTTTCCGTTATATTCTCTATTTCTCTTTATTGATAAGACTTAGTAAAGGTTTAGGCCATGCTGCAAATATAAATTCTGATTGAGCGTGGGCTAAAAGGATTGTATAGAAATATGCTTTTAGAGGAAGAAACAGCCTTGGCAATGACATGATTCACCATCTTCTTTTTTACAGATAAGGAAGCTGAAATGTATTATCAGTGACTTGCTTGAGGCCAAACAGAGACAGTGAGAATTATGTGATTCAAACCTCAAAAACTACTAATTATTCACTACTAATATATTAATACATTGAAGCTTCAAGAATATAGAGGTAGAGGTTCAGTCTCTTAAACCTTAAGGTACCTGTCCACGAACACCATCTTCTCTTAGAATATACATGGATTCTGTAGGCCTCATTGGTAACCCTGATGTATATTGTATACCATGCCATGTTGCTTTTTAAACCATGTTTAGCATATTGGCACATTAAAAAGATATCTGACCTCTTTAAGAGCAATTTTTTTAAAATGCAGAATATAATCAATTAAAACTTCCCCCTTTCCCCTACCCTTCATTATTCCAGGAAGGAATAGCAAGTAAATATTCTTGGCTTAATTGGTGTCATTGACATCTCCAGATTTAGCAGGGTGTCTTCAGGTATGTTTTCTGTACCCTACTGATGCTTTCTCTGAGTGGTAAAATCTTTTTTTTTCTTTTTTTTTAAAGGGTTTCTGACAGATTACTTTCAAAGTATAACAAATAAGTAGATACTGAAAATCTTACTTATGATTAATTTCATTCCCCTGGAGTAAACTATGAGTGTGAGCCATAAAGTTGTGGATGTAGATTCTTTCCATCAAAATGTGAGGTTATTTTTTCTTAAATAAATATAACTGTTTGGCTATAGTATATCAGCAAACTTGTTTTTGTTTCATAATGCTGAAAAAGTAGCTATGATTCATATTTTGACCTATTTCTTCTTCTGAATCTTACTCTTTATTTCTCTCAATTAACTTAGACATTAATTGAGGAAGAGCTTAATAATTTATCGCCCAGTGGATAATAGACTTTAAGTAAACAAAAGCTTAAGAATTGTTAGGTGTCCAGGATGTTAGATTTTGGAGAGTAGCTTTGGCACAAGTGCATTTCATAGGTACTCTTCCCTACCATCTTTTCTTAAGTAATGCTTTCATTTTTCTGTTCATCACCCCTGTCTCACTCTTTGTTTGATGTGGTTTTAGAAGATTAAGATATGAAGATTGTGACAAAACAAAAGGTAAAAATTAATGCCCTGGAATGTTTTGAAGCTAGTGTACAACAGGTTTATATCTTAAGAAAGAGGTGATATGATCGGATGGTAAATAGAATGTGGTAAAGTTTAAATAAAACCCCCATTTAGACTTTTCCATATTTAAACTCACATACTGAGTTTGTCTCTGGCTCTCAACTTCTTTCTTTTATTCCCTAAGTTTGAGGCAAGTATCAAGAAAAGAGCCTCTATTCATGAGTCTACTTTTGAACATATATGTACTTTAAAATCCTATGGTGGGTGATGGCATTTGAAAATGATTTAAAGAGGATGCTACTTCAGGAAAACTACTTTCTGTTTTCTTTCTTTCTTTTCTTTCTTTCCTTTCTTTCCTTTCTTTCCTCTCCTCCCCTCCCCTCCCCTCTCCTCTCCTCTCTTTTCCTCTCCTCTCCTCTCCCTTTTTTTTTTTTTTTTTCAGTCTTGCTCTGTAGCCTGGGCCAGAGTACAGTGGCATCAGCCTCGCTCACAGCAACTTCAAACTCCTGGGCTCAAGCTATCCTCCTGCCTCAGCCTCCTGAGTAGCTGGCAGTACAGGCATGCACCACCATGCCTGGCTAATTTTTTCTATTTTTTTTTGGTAGAGATGGGGTCTCACTCTTGCTCAGGCTGGTCTCGAACTCCTGAGCTCAAGCGATCCTCTCACCTTGGCCTCCCAGAGTACTAGGATTAGAGGTGTGAGCCACCACACCCAACCAGAAAACTACTTTCTTTATCCGCAAATGTTCGTTTTTTCTGCATTTCTCTTCCTTTCTGTTTTCTCCCTCTTTGTACATCTCTGTCTCACTTTAACACATTGACTGCCACACTAGAAAAAAAAATTTTTTCCCCTGGGGCCACAGTGTTTTTTAAAACAAAATGATCCCTTTTAATTTGTTATTCTTTATTGTTTTCTGTGCATGAGTTATATACAACACAATCCATGGTTTTATAATTAAGTTGTCAATATTAATTGTAACAATAAGAACATCAACAAATAAGATTTTCATGAACCAAGTGCAAGGTTTTGCTTCACAAGGCCCCAGGCTCAAAACTAGCATGAGTTAAATACAACTCATATGGCAGTTAATGTGTTAATTTCATCTCCCTTTAATCAACCATATAAGATAGGCCTAATATATATCTTTATTATATTTAATGTCTTTTTACTTGGTTGGAGAAGCAAAAAGCATTTTCTACTTATACCTGGGTTAAAGTTGATTGGCACTAGGGAGCCTAGCATATTTTTTCAGTAGGTCATTGTCCCTCGATAGAAAAAAGGCATCCACTTCATTATCCCTAAGGATTGGAAAGGTGATACACTTTTCAAGAAACAACTTTAAGGCTAGTCTGTTAATGCTAAATAAAAAGGAAAGGAAGAATTTGTTCCATA